CTCCGGAACTCAACGATTTTCCCTAACGAAACGAAACAACGGTATACAAACTAAGTAATACAAAGTGATAGGAAAACGTCGGGTTTTCCTAGGGTTTTCAACAATTACAAATTATGAATTACCGGTCGAATTTTTCACAACTCTTACGCTTACATCTATAGAATTCAAACATGCATACTCATGGATCAACACATATTTTTACACTATTCTATTATTAGAAAATATCGGATTTTCTGATGGGTTTCAAAGATTACATTGGATTTCAAACACTACTTATGAACTCACCAACATTTCGTATGTTGACATTTTTTCAGAATACTTGTATTCTCAGGTAACAGATAAGGTGACGGATGATTTATACTCTATGATGTTGCTGTGGTTTAAGTGATGTTGAACAGTTATTTTGAGAATGTAACGTTTGAACAATGTAACGAATGTAAACACTATCGGTTGTACTATTCCAAATGTTGGTGATGTTTTATGTTATGTTTCATGTATATGCATTGTGATGGTATTCAATTTGTCACGATAGCCCTCGGACGTTTCCGCCGTCTGGTTCGGGGGTGTGACAAAAACATAGTAAAAACCGAAAATAAGGGGTATAAACTCACATTGTTTTGGAGATTTCCGTTTTGGAAGAAGATTGAATAGATTTTCGGCTTTACAAGCTTCCTTGAAGAGATTTTCGAGATCTAAGTAGTTCTAAGAGCACAAATCATGAAATGAAGTGTTAAGGAGTGAAGATTATCATAAAATGAAGTTAAACACTTTGATGAGAGAGATAACTTACCAAAATGATGATCTTTGATGAAGAGTTCTTGAAGAACACATACACAATCACACGAAATTTTAGAGAGATAGAGGGTGGGAGAATGTTGAAGGTTAAGAGGAAATGAGTTGGTTTTGAAATGGTGAATGAAGATGGAGAGGGTGGCCGAGGGGTAGAGAGATGTGGGAGAATGGAGAGTTGATTTATGAAGAGAGTGATAAGAAGTTTGCATAGATACATGCAAATTTTGTTTTTTTTATTTTTTAATTGTGGGCCGAGAATGAGAGGGGAAGAGAAGAGAAGAGGAGTTTGGGCCTTTTTCTTAATTATGTTCGAAATTGTGAGGCCCATATTGAAGGTTCTCGGCCCATTGGGCCCTTCTTGAGGGTCCACGTCCCAAAGGTGGTAAAGGGATGGGGTTTACGGCCCAATAAGGCTTGTGAACCCATTTACAACCCATAAAAAAATGAGTTATTTTAGGCCCAACAAGACCCAAATGCTATGGTTTGATGATTGTGGATCAAATTGAATCCCAAATGGGGTTCCAAGACCCAAAGTAATCAAATTGAGAACTTATTGGCCCATTAGGCCCAATAAGAGGATCTTGGTCGATCTTGAGGTGAAATCGCAGATGTGCTTAATCCATCTGTGATTTTGATGACTATTTTTGTAATTTGGGTTTTTTTTTGGCTATTTTCTATAAAGTAATTAAGGAAAATGACTAATTTTGTAATTTTCTAAACAAAAATGATGTAGAAATGTGTTAGTAATATATTTACCATGAAAGGTATAATTAAAGTTGCAATTTTCTCTTCTGTTAGGTGCTAGGTGTTGTTTGTTTTCTCAGCAAAACCTCAGACCATTTTTTGCTGCGCGGCGCAGCACATTCGCAACACTTACTTTTTTGCACCAGTTTGTTTTTTGGAAGCCTTCTGGATACAAACCTCTGCGCATATTCTGTGCGACGCAATACTTGACTTGTTTCTTTAAACCTCTTTGGCTTTTATTTTACCAAGTGAATTTTTTAAAAAAACTTGGTATATTTTGATTTTTTTTTTAAAAAAACTTTGATTTACGGATTTGATACAATTTCTTTTTATAGTTTCCACAATTTTTTTATAACTTGATTTTTTTTAATAAAAAAATTGATTTTTTAATTTTTTTACCGTTTCATTCAATAATACTTTTAGTTTCGGTTGCGTCTTTTTAACTAGTGTGATTCTTTTACGAATTTTCTAGACATTGTTTGTAATATTTTCTTAATAATTTTATAATTTTCTTTTTTATGTTCTTTAAAATTAGTTTTTTCTAGAAAAAAAAATTGACAAAATTGACAGCTTCTTTTATATTTTTTTATATATATTTTTTGAAATTTTATATTTTTGTTTTATGCTTGTTTTTTTTATTCTTTCAATGTTTTAAGACTATAATTATTAAAATTTTTGCTTTGAGAACTATTTTCAGTCTCTAAAATCATTGTATTTAAATTTAAGTTTATTGCAGCTGTTTAAAAAATAAAAAGACTTCTTATAAGACTCGAGGGCGTGGGCGCGGTTTGGAACCACGGTTTTGCCACCTAGACGACGCACACCGCCCCCGTGGGTGCGGCTAAACGTGGTTTAGGCAGCACAGTGGTGAGAAACAGTTGCGTGATTTGATTGGGTGTGTGCTTTTTGAGCGTTCAACGGTCTTTTTGTTGAGAAATTATTTTTTTTTTTAAATTTACCCTATATATACTTACCTTTTTTACAAAATCCTCACTCAAATTCCTTATCATTTTACCATCTTTTCTTCTAATTTTTTCAAAATGTCTTCTTCCAAAAGGCCTGCTAATGAAAAAACACTCACTAGAAACACCACAACCCTAATACCTTCAAATGGTCAACTGATTTTTTCGTCTCCGCATTACCACTATGGCGGTATCTTTCCGTATTTTCCGCAACGACCAATATAGCCACTACCGTAAACACAAACACTACCACAACCCCGACTCAAATTTTAATTTATTTGATTTTGTCTCAACCTGAGTTTGTTCAACAAACACAAACACAACCGTAACCTCGAACGGTCGTTTCTAATTCCGAACTAGAATTCGTTGAAGAAACTCAGCCAACTCGAGTTAGTGTTGGGAACCCCTAGAAGTGTTAGTGTTGTCACAATCATGGATCGATATTTCGGAATATGAGACAATTGGAAAAGACCAAAAGCATTACTGTTTTTGGATTCGGGTTTTACATAGGTTTCACAAAGAAATGAACCGTGGAGACTATAGTTCAAAACATCAAATGTACTCGAAATGGGGGAAGATGAACAAGGAAGTCATGTTGTTTAATGATTTGTATACCAACATGAAACGTTAATGGAAAAGTGGAGAAAGCGATGATGTGATTTTGCAGAAAGCGTCGAAAGTGTATCAAAAAGAAAACGTGAAGGCTTTCAAGTTTCTTGAAGTTTGGAATTTTGTGAAAGATAACAAGAAATGGCAAAACAACAAAACATCAGACGAGCATATCAAAAGTGGTTCAAAAAATGCAGCAAAACATCTGAGTCAGACCACACTACACCAGATGCTCGTGTTAAATTCGATCTGAACGAAGATGAACCCGTTCCAGTTTCACCACTTTCCCGGCCAATGGAAAGAGACAAATCAAAAAAAAAAAGGCAACACGTCAGATTCAAATGAGTCGAAAGACAATGAAGGCCAATATGAAGGATATAAAAAATAGAATGAATAAGATTTTGCACCTTGCTTCTGAAAGACAGCTTCGGAAACAAAGGGATATCGACATGCGAGTACTAGCGGTGGACACGTCGAATATGACCGGAGACGAGCTTCAAGTTATTTTGCGATGAAGGAGGAAGTGAAAAAACGTTAGGCCAATCGTGACTAATTTATAGTATTTTTTTCAAGTTTTTAATCGTTTGATGTGGTTTTTTTTATTTTTTTTTATTATTTTTTTATTTTTTAAGTTGTAGGTTTTATGTTTCTAATTTGTTTTTGTAAATTTTTAGGTTTTCTTTTAAGTTACGCAATGTATGGTATTTTTAATTTTTAATTAATGAAATATTATCTTTTTTAAAAAAATAAAGATTTTATCCACTAAAAAGAATAAAAAATAAATAAATAATCCCAAATATAACACCACTCTTTGGACGTGAAAACAAACTATACTTTTTTGGTAAAAACACATGTTGCCGACTAAGGGTGTGTTTGGCAAAAGTAGTTGTTAGCTGGTAGCGGGTAGCGGGTAGCATGTACTGGGTAGCTGGTAGCGGGAAGTTGTAGCTTTTATTTGTTATATGAGTATTTGACAAAAGTAGCTAAAAACTTTTGAAATATATAAAATTACATAAAAGGACAATTGATTGAAAATAAATAAATATACAAATATAATTTTAAGGGTAATTATGGAAATTGATTTCAAAAGCTCGATAGCATTTTGTTAAACGCAACATGAAGTAGCTTTTAGATTTGGAGCATTTTGTTAAAACTAAAAGCTAAACGCTCGTACTATCAAATGAAGCTTTTTGTTTAACTAGAGCGTTTTGTCAAAAGTTAAAGCTAAAAGCTACCAAACGTTTTCAAAAGCTTCGTACCAAACAGACGCCTGAATGAAATTGTGGGAAAATGAAGAAGTGTGGTATATGACATTGTGGGAAACCTAGAGGCTGCAGCAGTTTGGAGCGGTACAAAAAAACAAATGGCACACCTTACAAACATAAAATTTCCCTCTGGAGTCTGGAACATACAGTTTGGCTTTACGTCACCGAGTTCAGATCGTTGGTACTGTTGCTGCACTCCATTTTGAATGAACCCCAGATTACAACGCACATGGTTCTTTTACGGCTGAGCTACCGTCATCGACGTTGATGCGATTTCACCAGCTATGCCCTTAACTTTGCTTCCACTGGCGGAAAGGCCGGAAAGATAGGGGGAATTCGTCTGAAAGAAACACGGGATGAGATGAGGATCGAGAGCAATTCTTAGGGCTGAGTTCAGGAGAAATTTGTATCGCGGGGAGGGAAATGAGTATAAAATTGAGAGATATTGAAGACGCTTACACTTCCTGTTCTCAGCATACTTATTGAAGACGCTTATTTCTATTTTTTGAAGAACGCTTACACTTCCTGTTCTCAGCATACTTATTTGGGTTTGAAGGTGAAAGTTGAAAGGTCAAATATAACCGAGAAACGGTTGGAGCAAAATTCACTGGTTGATGAGTCCAAAATCATGGGCCGGGAAGGGGATAAAGAGGCATTGATGGGGAAGTTGTTGGGGGAAGAAGAATGTGATGAAAGTGTGAGCATAATGTCAATAGTTGGTATGGGTGGAATAGGCAAAACCACTCTTGCCAAACTTTTATACAATGATGAGAAAGTGAAGGATCACTTTCAACTCAGAGCATGGGTTTGCGTTGCTGAAGAGTTGGATGTATCTAACATTAGCAAGGCTATTTTCCAAGCAGTAACTGGGAAAAATGAAGATTTTGCTAATCTTGATCTGCTTCATGTTGCCCTCAAAGAAAAACTTTCAAAGAAGAGGTTCTTACTTGTTTTAGACGATGTCTGGAATGAAGACTACAGTAAGTGGGAACTCCTCCAGAGCCCTCTTCTTGTAGGGGCACCTGGAAGTAGAGTTATTGTCACAACCAGGAGTATCAGGGTTGCATCAGTGATGGACTCAAAAGAAGTTTATGAGCTGAACGTTTTGTCAAATGAAGATGCTCTATCATTGTTTGGTCAACACGGGTTAGCTGAAAAGAACTTTGACAAACATCCAGCACTTAAGTTGCTTGGTGAAGGTATGGTGAAAAAATGTGGTAGATTGCCTTTGGCTTTGAAAGCAGTTGGGAGGATCTTGAAGGGAAATAGGAATGGTGATGAGTGGGAGAAGTTGTTAAACAGTGAGATATGGGATATAGAGGAAGGAAGTGATATTCTTCCGGCTCTAAGACTAAGCTATTATCATCTCCCTCCACATTTGAAGCAGTTGTTTGCATATTGCTCCTTATTTCCCAAGGACACTGAGTTTAATAAAAAATGAGCTGGTCCTGATGTGGATGGCAGAGGGATTTTTGTCCCGATCAAAATCAATGGAGAGGTTAGGTCATCATTATTTTGAAGAGCTACTGTCAAGGTCTTTTTTTCAACAATCAACAAATGACGAGTTCGAATATACAATGCATGATCTGATGAATGACTTGGCCACAAGTGTCGCAGGAGAGTTTTTCTGTAGATTGGATGGTGAGATGGATGTATCTGACACAAATGAAGTTTTTGAGAAGCTTGGTCACTTTTCACTTATAGCTTCATCATCTGGATCATATAGAAAGCTTAAGCAATTACAAAAATCTACTCACGTGCACACTTTCTTGGGAATTTCGATTTCTGGGTCAGACTATGTTCATGATGAATTAATTCATAAACTACAGTTTGTAAGGGTGCTAGCACTGACTGGAATCACAATCACAGAGGTACCAGAATCCATTGGTAGTCTCAAGCATCTACGGTACCTTAATTTTTCTTTTACTGAAATCACATGTTTGCCAGAACAAGTGAGTGACCTTTATAATCTACAGACCTTGTTAGTTCATCATTGTTCCGAGTTATCTAGCTTGCCAAAAAGTTTTGCAAAGTTAATAAACCTGCGACATCTTGACATAAGTAAGACTCCGAATTTAAATAAGATGCCTTTAGGGATCGGTGGGTTGATGAGTCTACAAACTCTACCCAAAGTCTTTATTGAAGAAGGTATTGGGTTCAAAATATCTGAGCTCAAGGGCCTAATGGATCTTCAAGGTCGACTTTCCATTATATATGGGGCTGGAAAAAGTGATAAATCAAGTAGAAGCAAAGGATGCCAACTTACATCAAAAGAAAGGTCTTGATGTTTTGAAGATGGAATGGAGTGATGTGTTTGATGATTCTCGGAATGATATTATTGAATATGAAGTACTTACTGAACTAAGGCCTCATCCTAAGTTAAAAAAGCTCAAAATTTTCAATAACAACGGGATGCGATTTCCTACTTGGGTTGGCAATCCCTCCTTTGATCAGTTAACAAAGCTTACATTACGTGGTTGTAGAAGTACACATCTACCAACACTTGGATGTCTAGATTCTCTTAGGAAGTTGGTTGTTGAAAGCATGAGTGAGGTGAAGAGTGTGGGTTTTGAGTTTCTCGCACCTGTAAGTTCTTTTATTGGCATTGGATTTCCATCGCTTGAAGTTCTGAAATTTAAAGATATGCAAGGTTGGCAGAGATGGTTGATTAATAGTGGGGACGGACATGAAACTCCTAGATCATTTCCTTGTCTTCATGAGATCTGTATAGCCAATTGTCCAGAACTAGCTGAAGTTTCAATCGGATTGATACCTTCACTTCGGGTTTTATATATAGAAGAATGTTCCAAAAGAGTGTTAAGAAGCATGATTGGTTTGTCCTCATCACTTGTTAGATTGAAAATGCTGAATGTTAAAGCACTTAGTCAACTACATGGAGAAGATTTAATGCATCTTGGGGCACTTGAACATCTATATCAGGAACTGTGATGAACTGAGATACTTGTGGGAACGAGAATCAGAGGCATGCAAGAGTCTTGTGAGTTTACAGCAGTTGGAAGTAACGCATTGTAAAAAGTTGGTTTCATCAGCCGAGAAAGAGGCTAATATTGGGATCAGCATGGAATCGCTTAAATATGTGACATTTCATAAGTGTGAGACATTGGAGAGTTACAATTGTACAAATACTGTTGAGAGGTTGGTCATCAGTACTTGTGCTTCAATATCATCCTTGACCTTCTCAGCAATGCAGGAGCACCCATGCCCTCTTACTGAATTGATAGTGGGTGATTGTGATAACATAAAATTACAACCCAAACCCATTCCAGCAAAAGAGTTAAGTTTGTCTCGCCTAACATCTCTTGAGATCAGTGGTTGCAAGAATCTAAAGTCATTTCCACATGAGCATTTTCAAAGTCTCACATCTTTGGAAGAACTGGAGATAAGTCAATGTCCACGTCTGGACTACTCCTTTCCTTGTGGGGTGTGGCCTCCTAATTTAAGCAAATTAAGGATAGGAGGCTTAAATAAGCCCATGTCAGAGTGGGGTCCGCAGAGTTTTCCTACCTCACTAGTTGACCTATTGTTATTTGGCGAAAATTCAGGAGTGGTTTCATTTGGAGTGGCAGATGCTGTGAGGAATACTATTACTCCATCATCATCATCATCATCATCATTATCTTTTCTTCTTCCACCATCTCTGGTTTCTCTAACGCTCCATGGTTTTACTGATGTGGAATCACTTTCATAGGTCTTACAAAACCTCCCCTGCCTTAAATCCTTAATATTTCGAATTGCCCAAAGCTTGGAGATCTTAAGACCATTTACGACCCATAAAATGTGAGAATATTGGTGTGGTAGTAGAAAAGGTTCGTCATCTCCTTTCCCATCATCTGTGTCTCTTACATAAGAGTGGTTATTTATTTCAATAATGTTATGATTATAATTATTGTTTCTTAACAAACATGAAAGAGGGTTCTACAGCTTGTATCCCAAAGCATTATGGCCCATCTCTTACGATAAACATCACAACTTTTTTTTTTTTTTGATAAATGTGATCTTAACTATCCCAAAGTATTAGGAACATTAATTTTGAGACTTGTTTGTTTTGGTTTGTTGATAATACTATTTTTATACTGAAACTAACAATCAAAACTAGTACAAAAATAAGAGAAAACTATGACTGCAGCAGTTGAATAGCTTTTCGGTTTTTGTAGAACTTTTACCATTAACTTGCTATGTACATTTGTTGCAACTGTATTATTTTATCTTCATGGCACCACTTCTTTGTGTATTCCTTTTCGTTGTCATGTTGTAGTTTTCGTTGATCTTGGCTTCGAGTGAACTTGTGCATTGTTGAAAGAATTACTAGAAATCATAACAAAATTGTTTACAATTTGGACTTTTTCCAGAAACTTTGACCTTTTATTCGGTCATCAATTCAGAAATTTTGACCGTTTATGTCAAACCCGCTGGCTTTGAGATGTTGATTTTGGTAATATGTTTGAAAATCGGGGCCATCTTAATCCCTTTGTAACCTTTGTTATATAACTACATATTTCATTACAAATTTGTGTAAGTTTCTAGGTTAGAAATAAATCCATTTGATATCATAACTTTTTCTGTTTTGGTAAAAAAAAAAATATGATCAGACTATGTATAGCATGACTAATTGTCTTTTTGTGTGGCTATTCCCAGTATAATTAATCAGTATGTTAAGGACGATGTAAGTCTACACACTATAAACTTGTGCAAATATCATTTCAATTTATTTGTTGTCATTAGTGCTTAATTAAAGAGATTGTTTATGAAATCATATTGGAATATCCTGTAGGCGTATTATGTGATCTTGGCATGTTTCTATAAATTATGAGGTTATTCTTAGGAAGTTGCTCAATTTCTACTGGTGCACATTGGATCAAGGCTGTCTACATGATGTCAGCGAGGCAAATCAGCTAAATATGCATGGGGATGGACGTTGAAAAAAGTTAGAAGACAATCAAGGGTATGAGTAAATACCAAATACAAATTCCATATTTGGGATGAATGGTGGACGAACTGTGTATAGGTTCACTGAATTGTACTTGGATGTAGTAATTATCAAACATAGTTTGTTTTGGGATTTTATTTAAAAGCTAGTTTATAAAAAATGCATAGTACAAGAAATGGTTATCTTTATCTTTATATATCAATAAACAAAGACTAAATGACAAACTTAGTCCCTGTATGGTATACGAGTTTTACAGGGTTTACTCTAAAAATGAACAAGAAATTGTCATCATCATATATAAATAAACAGGACTAAATTATAGGGTTTAGTCTAAAAATGAACTAATTTAGGCTCCTGTTTCATTTGCCCATCATCTTTCTATTAATTATATCATGAAATAACATATTAAGTTAAATCATAGAGAAATTAAATATTCTTATACTTTTTGTTGCTACCTATTTTCCTTTTTATATAAAATAAGAACAAGTAAATCTATTAATTATTTCTTAGTTGTGTTTTTTAAATTTTAACATTTGTCTTGATCTAATAAATAAATAAAAATCGATAGAGACAAAAGGTAGCGCAATATTTGATTTCTCCAAATCATGTTATCACCTTAAAAAAATTAATGTACTAATTCATCTTTATTTATGTGAAATGTTTGATAAAGCTCTTCATCTAATTTGTTATTTTTAAACATGTGTAGTATTTATTAAGAATTTAACAATAACATTACATAAAATCAATATATTACGATGCATAAAATTAATATTAGAGATTAAATAAAATCAAACAAATTAATTAGTCAAAAAAATATTAAAGCTCTAAGGTTTTTTTAACGAGAAATCTAATTTATTTCTTTCTGATACCGCTAGAAGCCCATTGGTAGTTAAATTCAATCAAGAGAGTGAATAGAATAATATTGACTAAAACGGGTTAAATGTACAAAACACAAATCTAAAAAAAAAACATCGTAGTATAATAAAAGTGATTGTAATAATTAACTCAAAAAATTATCTCCATTGTAAACTTTGCAAGGTTTGTTCTTAAAATAATCTCTTAAAATTAGTATTTTCTAGAAAAAAAAATTGATAGCTTTTTTTATATTTTTTAATATATATTTTTAGAAATTTTATATTTTTGTTTTTTGCTTGTTTTTTTTTTATTCTTTCAATGTTTCAAGGTTAGAATTATTAAAAATTTTGCGTTGAAAATTATTTTCAGTTTCTGAAATCATTGTATTTAAATTTAAGTTTATTGCAATTGTTTAAAAACTAAAAAGACTTCTTATTAGACTCGAGAGCGTGGGTGCAGTTTGGAACCGCGGTTTTGCCACCTGGATGACGAACACCGCCCCGTGGGTGCGGCTAAGCACGGTCTAGTGTAACGATCCAATTTTTCGCGTCCAAAATTTCATTTTTAAAACTTTACTTAGAAAACACTGATAATTAAAACATTGTTTAATTAAACCATTTCAGATCTAAAGCCCAAATTTGAAATCCACAACATGTAAACAACCAAAATATCAGAGTATCAATCCCAGAATAAACTCATAATTGCGGAAACAAGAGTGTGTGTGATATGCTGCTACCGCGCCAGCTCCTTTCCCTTAGCTGAAGAGGTACCTGAAACCAAAAGTGAAAATCGTAAGCACAAAGCTTAGTGAGTTCCCCCACTGTACCACATACCATATAATCACATAACATACATAAATTGTTAGGCATATCTGGGTGCCCGACCTACCTCTTCAGTCCTCTCGACCGGATGCTGCCTAGCATATCTGAGTGATTGCCTCCCCTTCGGTCCTCTCGAACGGATACTACCTAGCATATCTGGGTGCTGGCCTCCCCTTCGGTCCTCTCGACCGGATACTGCCTAGTATATCTGGGTGCTGGCATCCCCTTCGGTCCTCTCGACCGGATACTGGGGACTATTTCACCCCCTACTACTACCACATAACACATATATCACATAGTCTATCTAGCATGGCTGGGCATGACCGCCCCTTCAGCCCTATCGATCGGTATTTTGGGGGACTATCTCCCCCTACTATCACTAACACATAAACATAACATAGGTAGTAGCAACCCTAGATGAATATCACAAAGATAATCATCTAATCATACATCTCATACTGGTGGGCCGACATTGTGGCCTTAGACCCACCGCTACTGGAAGGTAACTCACCTCAAAGTAGCTACTGAACTGATCGGAAACTGACTGTCTACTGCTGCTGCTGCTGCTCCGGACATCCTCCATCTATAAATCCCACAAAACGATCAGTCAAACACTGCTAGATGTTCTTAGGGTAAAATGACCCTTTTACCCTCGACCAGGTCGAAATCCAAGTCAAAGTCAACTTTCAGTTGACTGGACTTGCCAAGTCCACGAGCAACTCGCCGAGTCCTTCCCTTACTAATCTGGTCCCACTCGCTAAGTCCCTCTCCCCACTCATTGAGTCACCCTTGACTCACCACTCGGGACTATGGGGACGACTTGAGTACCGACTCGCCGAGTTTGAAGAACAACTCGGCGAGCTCCAGTTAATCTTCATAGGACTCGCCAAGTTGTTCATCCAACTCGCCGAGTCTAAGACCATCTTCATAGAACTCGCCGAGTACCACTTTGGGACTCACCGAGTTCCTCGACCCATTTCCCAAATATGCCAGATCTGAGACATGTAATGCTTCAAAACCACAGATCTATGGTCCTATGGCATGTTTACCACATTAAGTTGCAAACTTTACGTGCATGCATGGCCCAATGAGATCAAACATGCAATTCGAAGCTCTTTAAGAGGTCCTACACTCAATAGGGACCTCAATCACCTCAACCACAGAGACTTTATACTATTAGGATCTCCTAAAGATCCAAATCCGAAGTCCTTGCAGAAAATTAACCATAAACACATAGAGATTTAGGTTCTTAGGGCTTAAAACCTCTTTTTAGGGACAAGAAAGGGGGTTCAATGAACTAAAGATCAAGGTAGGAACTTTTCTACTTGAATAGAAGCCCTTCACAGAGTATATTCTAGATCTTCTTCCCTTCTTGCACTCTTCACCCTTCTCCTTCTTCTCCTAAGCTCCAAACCACCTTCAAAATGCTAAAAATCACCCACAAGGACACAAAGTGGGCTAGGGTTTTGTTCTATAGATCTCTGGGAGTTCTAGGGGTTGTGGAGGTTGGTTTAGATTGTTTAAATAGGGTGCAAACACCTGGGTTAGGGTTTTAGTCCATATAGGGCCTACTCGCCGAGGCCTACGACCCTACTCGCCGAGTAGCCAGAGTTGAACCCGAGTCTAGACCTGCTTCTACTCGGCGAGTTAGTCCTTCAACTCACCGAGTCCAATGTTAAAATGCAATACATAAGGAGAGTTAATAATCAAGAATACATACCAGGAACCAGGTGCTACAAATCTCCCCCACTTATTTTAGACTTCGTCCTCGAAGTCTGCTGCTCGATCCTGAAACAGCTCGGGATAATGCTCCATCATTTCTTCCACCGGCTCCCAAGTCCACTCGGAACCCTTTCGATGCTGCCACTGCAGCTTCACTAACTCCACCCTCTTGTTCCTTAGATCCTTCGACTTCCGGTCGAGGATCGCAACTGGGCGCTCAATGTAATTCAGGCTGTCATCAACCTGTATATCCTGTAATTGTACCACCACTGAGTCATCCACGAGACACTTCCGCAGCTGGGAGACATGGAAGGTGCTGTGGATCTGGCTGAGCTCGGCTGGCAGATCCAGCCTATATGCCAC